AGGGAGGGGGGAAATAAGGAGCTGATACCAAGGGCTCAAGTAGAAAGCAAATGTTTTGAGAATGATGATGGCAACAAATGTACAAATGTGCTTGGATTGTGATAAGAGTTGTATGACCCCCCAATAAAATGAGTAAATTTAAAAAATTTTTAATAAGTGATTTTTTTACATATTGCTAGATCTGTGTTGCTGACCTAGAGAAAGGAACATAGCACAGTATGTATACTGGGGTGCTGATCTGGAAACGGCTGGAGAATAAGTCTCAAGGTGCCAGGTGGGACAAGGAAAGGAAAAGCCGGTGACATGGGAAGATTTGCATATGGTGAGAATATATTTCCGTGAGACTGGATTGAGACTTAAGCAATAGTTCAGGAAGGAGATGAGGAAGCCTGGTGCACACAGAGTTACGAAGACTATGTGAATGCGATGATTGAAAGGAAGGAGGAGAGAAAAAGCAGCCCCAGTTGGTGATAGGGTCCGCAGCCCTGTGACAAGAAGCACCAGAGGAAGGCTGTCTCTCTTCTTTTTGCCATATGCTGCCTAGCACACGCCTCCACCCATCTCCCACCTTGAGTGATCGTGACCATTGAGTAACAAGACACTTCTTGAAATAGTCACGGATGTTTCTCTCCTTACTTCCTTCTTGCTTTGGAGGTTCGTGGTCTGCCAAAACAGAAGGAACTTGCCTACAGGCACTTTCCACAATGGCTTTTGCTTCCCAAAGTTAAGCCACTGCGCTATTTATAGTTTCAGTGAGGGGGGCCTGGAAAGGGACGGAGGACCTCAGGGGGCGGGAGGAGCACGGGCACTAAGGAACAGTGGGAAGAACGAAGGGGCTTGGGTTAATGTAAATAAATAAAGGGATGCGCTGCTTTTTACAGACTTCTCTACCACCTGGGCAATCGGGGTCTCATTGATCACAGCAGTCCTGGCACTCAAGGGACACACGGAGGAACGGAATGCTATGCACCGTCTCCCCGATTAAACTAATGTACACCCTCGTGTCCATCTCTGTACCCCGCGGTCTGGGAGGCAGGGTCTTAAAAAGGTCATGGGCAGCGTGGGAAAAAAGGACGTGATCTTCCAAGCTTCTACTTAAAAAAAAATGCTTATAGAGTATGTGAAAGTACTGCCCAGACGGGGTTGGGGGGGTCTATTGGCCGCAGCTCTGCCTTTACTCACGTACCCGCAGATCCGGGTCCCCCAAACCGGAGGGACCTAATGTGAGGGTGGGGTGGGAGCAGGACGGGTTCAGAGGCACCGCGCCTGCGCACTGCAAACTCCAGCCGCCAAGCCCTCGGCAAGGTAGGCGGGGGCTGTCCGGGCATCCG